CCCTGGGAAGACTTCTGGCCCTGGACTCTTTTTTGTTGGGAGATTTTTGATTATTGATTCAATTTTATTGCTGGTTATGGGTCTGTTGAGGTTGGGTTTTTTGTTTGTTTTTTATTTCTTCCTGTTTCAGTTTTGGTAGTTTATATGTTTTTAGGAATTTGTCAATTTCTTCCAGATTGCCTAACTTGTTGGCATATAATTGCTCATAATATTCTCTTATAATTTTTTGTATTTCTTCTGTGTTGGTTGTGATCTCTCCTCTTGCATTCATAATTTTATTTATTTGGCTCCTTTCTCTCTTCTTTTTGATAAATCTGGCTAGGGTTTTACCAATTTTATTAATTCTTTCAAAGAACTAGCTCCTAGTTTCACTTATCTGTTCTGGTTTTTAATTTTGTACATTTATTTCTGCTCTGATCTTTATTGTTTGCCTTCTCCTGCTGGATTTAGTATTTGCTTTTCTTTTTCCAGCTCCTTTAGGTATAAGGTTAGGTTGTATATTTGAGTCTTTCCTTGCTCCTAGAAGAAAGCCTGTATTGCTAAATACTTCCCTCTTAGGGCTCCCTTTGCTGTCTCCCAAAGGTTTAGTGTTACTTTCATTTTCATTTGTTCCCATGTATTTCTTCTTAATTTCTTGGTTAACCCATTCTTTCTTTAGTAGGATGTTCTTAACCTCCATGTATTTGTGATCCTTCCAATTTTTTTCTTGGGGTTGACTTCAAGTTTTATAACATTGTGGTCTGAACCTATGCATGGTATGATCTCAATCATTTTGTACCTGTTGAGACCTGATTTGTGACCGAGTGTGTGATTGATTCTGGAAGATATTCCATGTGCACTCAAGAAGAATGTGTATTCTGCTGCTTTGGGATGAAAGCTCTGTATGTATTTCTTAAGTCCATCTGGTCCAGTGTGTCATTCAAAGCCCTTGCTTCCCTGTTGATCTTCTGCTTAGATGATTTGTCCATTGCTTTGAGTGGAGTGTTAAAGTCCTCTACTATTTTGTATTATTATTATCAATGTGTTTCTCTAATTTTGTTATTAATTGGTTTATATAATTGGATGCTCCTTAGTTAGGGGCATAAATATTTACAATTGTTAGATCTTCTTGGATAGACCCCTTTATTATGATATAGTGCCCTTCTTCATCTTGTAATAAGAGAAGTCTTTGGTTTAAAATCTAGTCCAGCTTTTGTTTGATGTCTATTAGCATAATAATTGTTTTCCACCCCCTCACTTTCAATGTGGAGGTGTCTTTGGATCTAAAACGAGTCTCTTGTAAGCAGCGATAAGTCTTGTTTTTTGTTTTTTTATCCGTTCTGATACCCTATGCCTTTTGATTGCATTTAGTCCATTTACATTGAGAGTATTTATTGATAGATAAGAATTAAGTGACGTTGTAATACCTGTAAATTCGCTGGTCCTTTAGATGGTTTCTTTCTAGTCTTTGTTGCCTTTGATCTCTATTTCTGCTCAGGGTCCCCTTTCACATTTCTTGCAGGGCTGGTTTAGTGTTTACGAACTGCTTTAGTTTTTGTTTGTCTGGGAAATACTTTATCTTTTTTTTTTTTTAATTTTATTTATTTATTTGACAGAGACACAGCGAGAGAGGGAACACAAGCAGGGGGAGTGGGAGAGGGAGAAGCAGGCTTCCCGCGGAGCAGGGAGCCCGATGTGGGGCTCGATCCCAGGACCCTGGGATCCTGACCTGAGCCGAAGGCAGACGCTTAACGACTGAGCCACCCAGGCACCCCATCTCTCCTATTCTGAATGACAGTCTTGCTGGATAAAGTATTCTTGGCTGCATATTTTTCCCAATCAGCACGTTGAGTATTTCCTGCCACTCTCTCTTCAAGTTTCAGTGGACAGGTCTGCTGCTTATGTTTCTACCCTCATAGGTTAAAGACCTTTTGTCCCTAGCTTCTTTCAGCATTCTCTTTATCTTTGTATTTTGTAAGTTTCACCATGATATATCATGATGTTGACCTGTTTTTCTTGACTTTAAAGGAAGTTCTCTGTGCTCCTTGGACTTGAATGCCAATTTCCCTCCCCAAATTAGGTAAGTTCTCAGCTATAATTTGTGCAAATAAACCTTCTGCCCTTTTTCCCCACTCTTCTTCTGGGACTATGATATGGATATTATTGTGTTTTATGGAATTGTTGAATTCCCTAAGTCTACCTTAGTTATCTACTAGTTTTCTTTCCCTTTTCTCAGCTTATTTTACATAATTTTGTCTTCTGTATTACTTATTCTCTGTGCTTCTTCGATCCCTGTAGTGATTATACCGAGTCAGTTTGCTTTCTATGTATAGCATGTTTTTTTTTTCAGCCTGGCTAGTTTTTAGGTCTTTTATCTCTGCAGCTAAGGTTTCTCTTGTGTCTTCTATGCTTTTCAAAGCCCAACTAGTAGTCTTATGACTGTTGTTCTACACTCTTACTCAGGTTTTATCTGTTTTGAGCAAGTCCCTTGCTATGATTTCTTCTTGACCTTTCTCAGGGTGAATTCCTCCATCTTCTCATTTTGGCTAAGTTTCTTTGTGTGTTTTGAAAGCTTGTCATGGTTCCTGCACCTGAGTGTAATGCTATATTAAAAAGGGGTCATACACTGTCCAGCGCCTGGCATTTCAGGAAGTGTTTCTGGTGTGTGCTGTGCGTATTCTGCTCTTGTGTGGCTGCTCTTTCCCACAGGTCAGTTGTCTGAAGAGTTCCTTCTTGCTTGCAGTGGGGAGTGTTTATATCGGTGTGCCTTGTTTTGCTTGTGAAAATAAGGCTGGGAAAAAAGAAGAAGAAAATGCCTGGTCCAAAAAAAAAAAAAAGTCCGACTGTTTTGGTGGCAAAGGGGAAATTGACACCACCCCAGCACGACAGCTCTCCTGCATTTTATCTTTGGCACATGGCTGGGATTTAAAACTCCAAATCTTAAAGGACCCACCACCCCATGGATCCACACCCTCTCCAGAGTAGAGCCTCGCTGCACCGTCTGGTGTCCCAGACAGATAAAAATAGCCCAGGAAAATAGTCCCAGAAAAATAGCCCCACACCTGCTCAGCGTGATGTATGGTGTAGAAGCGGAAAAGCAGGGGCGCCTGGGTGGCTCAGTCATTAAGCGTCTGCCTTCTGCTCAGGTCATGATCTCAGGGTCCTGGGATCGAGTCCTGCATCGGGCTCTCTGCTCAGCAGGGACTCTGCTTCTCCCTCTCCATTTGCCCCTCCCCCTGCTCTCATGTGTGCTCTCAAAGAAATAATATCTTTTTAAATTTTATTTATTTATTTGAGAGAGAATGATCACAAGTAGGCAGACAGGCAGGCAGAGGCAGAGGCAGCAGCAGACTCCCCGCTGAGCAGGGACCCCCGATGCAGGGCTCGATCCCAGGGCACTGGGATCATGACCTGAGCCAAAGGCAGACACTTAACCAACTGAGCCACCCGGGTGCCCCAAATAAAATCTTAAAAAAAAAAAAAAAAAGCAAAAAGCAGCAACCAGGTTATCCACCCTCTGCACGTACCTCTGTCCCCTGCTGATAAAGGCCATTTGCTGGCACCTGCAGGGTCTTTTGTCCTTGGAGAGGCAATATACCCTCTTCCAAATGTAGTCCAGGAAGGGGAACACTAACTGGGATTCTACTGAAGAAAGGACCTGTCCTTCCTCCCTCCTTTTAAAAACATCACTATGGACTAAACATCTGCTTTACTTTATGGTAATGAATGGGTTTGAAGATTTTTGATAGATCAAATTGCCTTCAGAAATGATGTACAGATTTACACCCCCTCAGGTACTGCATGAGTTTGCCACCTTTCTACACCCACACCAACAGCAATGGTGTATAAATAACAAATGTATTTGGTAAAAAAAAAAAAAAAAAAAAAAAGATATCTAGTATTGCTTTTATTTGAATTTTATTGCCAACAGAGTGGAGCCTCTTACATGTATTGACTATTCATTTGTTTTTATCTTCCATCATTTTTCGATAGCATTGTACATTTTACCCTTGCCATCTGCGTGTATGTGATCTTTTATTTCCTGAGGATATTACCATACATGTAATAATTTATTTTTTTTAAAGATTATCTATTTATTTGAGAGAGAGCTACAAGCAGGAGGCAGAGGGAGAGGAGAAGCATGCTCCCCACTGAGCAGGGAGCCCAATGCAGTGCTCCATCTCAGGACCTTGGGTTCATGACCTGAGCCGAAGGCAGACGCTTAACTGACTGGGCCACTGACTCAGGTGCCCCTAAATGTAATAATTTAGAATATATTTTCTCTATTTGCTTTTTAACTTTGGTAATGAATGTCAATGTTAGTTTGGACAACTGAATATACTGATGTGCCCCCTCTTAAATATGTGCTGTTGTAGAAAGTTCTTTCCCAAATAAAGAAGACACTCAACATGCTTTCTTTGATTTTTGATAGGTCCAAATTTTTACATATATTTCTTTTATTCTTCTGGAGTATATTCTACTATTTTCCAACATAAAGTATTTTCTATGTTTCAATACTTAACCCCAAATTTCAGGAATTCATATAGGTAGAATTTAAATCAGTGGGGAAATACACATATATTTTTATAAATGATGCAAACCACTGTTTTGGGGGTGGGGGGACAGATTCCTATCTCACACTAGTTATAAAAATGGATTCCATAAGGATATACTTGAATTAGGAAAATATTTTTATCAAGAAAATACGAACTCTCCAAAGGAAGCCCTTTGGGTAAATACAAGGCAGATTATCTATCCTTGGACAGATTGCTAGTGTTAAAGTGAAATAAATATGATAAAATATCCTTCATCATATTAATACCGTACTTATATACTATTGCCCTATCTTAGATTATAAACAATTGCATACAATTATAAAACTTTTCTTAGTATTCACGAAAGTTTCTCTAAGGTTTTGGCTCTGTTTGATTTTCTTTACTAGGACTCAGGTAAAACCCAAAGCAAGATTTTTACTTGAATAAAAAGGGGCCCATCATTGAAATAAAGAACAGTATAACCTAGAGATTTATAAACGTCTATAATTACCAATATAAATATTAATTTATGTTACATGCAGGCATCACAGAAGACAACAAAAAGATAACTGTAATGGAGATGGGGGAGGGGAGTACAAAAGCAAATCGTTAGGGATTCAGGTCTCTTTTTCCCGAGATAAAACCAAGTGCTCCACGTACTGTATGTAATTAGCTGTTAACCTCTCAGAAGCCAAGTGTCTGCAGGGCTCCCTCTGCCCACTGTGCATCACCGGATATGGTACTCCCTGAAGCACTTGGCATGGACGCCCTTCTGGCATTTCTCACAGCGGGTGTTGGTCTGTGAGTGGCAGAGGGCACACCGGGTCCTCTTGTCCTGGTGGACTATCCAGTGCCCGATCATGTCAAAGCGGCTCTCAGTTTCTAGCCGCCTGCTTCGCCTCCCTTGGGAGGACGTGTCGGCGTTGCTCTCCAGGTACACGCAGGCCACATACCTCCGGAAGGCCAGGAGGTCCACCTGGGCATCGCGGCTGCAGGTCCTGTGCAGCTGCCAGGCGTTGTTGAGGGCGGCGTCGACGACATAGCCGATGAAGCTGGAGTACCACTTCATGCCCCGGATCTTCACCTTGTACTTCGCCATGTTCTGGTCCATCCGGCGGACACCGCCCCCCTTCTCCTGGTACAGCTTCACCAGGGACGGCTGATGGACCTGGGCCCGCGTCCTGGCGGTTCCGGAATGACGGCCGGCCAGCCCCACGGGCTCTACGCCCACAGCATTGGAGCAGACGGTGACCGCGCTGCCGTCGCACCAGCGGCACACGATGACCTCCTCACTCTCCTCCACCTTATAGTCAAAGGAGCCCCTCTTCATTTTCTTAAGCTCTTTGGGACCTTTGAGGGGACATCGCTCAGTCCTGTACTCACGAACAGTTCCCGTGGCCTTCACCCCCCTTTTCCTCAAAATGGACATGAGTTTGACACTCGTAAAAGCCTTGTCAAAGAACACGTGGTATGGCAGACAGCCACGCTCCTGAAGCGCATCCACAAACCTGACCACCATGCTGCCTCCTAGGTCCAGGCCCCCGTGTGATCTGGTGAACAGCGTGCCCTGGGAGGGCTCAAACCACACCAGGTAGCCCCTGCTGGTTGTCCCACACCAGATCTTGTAGCCCAGCCGCATGGGCTTCCCTGCACGCAGCTGCCTGGATCCCCGGTGCCCAAAGTACTCACACATGGACTCACCAAAGCTGTAGAATTCTTCCAAGGGTGCGTGCTTCTGGAAATTGCAATTCATCCGGACAATGAGAGGCCTGACTTTGGCGAACCTATCACTTTCATCCAGCTCCGTGTTATCTGCAAAATGCAGGTACGAGAAGATCAGTTCAAATCTGTCCCTTCTAATTGCATCAGCCACAAGATGGTGATGCGAATCAGGGGATGTTTCCCAAAACATCCTTCTCCTCGGATAGGATATATACCCACTTAAAATCAAAATGCCCAAAACACACTTTAATTCCTGGGCTGTGAGCCCGAGGTTGACATTTTTCTGCCAAGCGTAACGATTGGTTTCATTAACAATGAAATTAATTGTTCCTTCATCAAAAAACAACTCGAAGAGGCCTACAGGACTCAGTTCCTGGCTTTTGAGATCCTCTATATGAGGATCTGATGCAGTCCAACTGCTGAAGTTGGGTCGGATATCTCTTTTGGTCCAAATACGCTTAGGTTCCGCTACTGCCTTCTGCCTCTTCATGGCCGGCTGCAGCTGCAGCTCATCTTCCTCTTCCTCCTCGGTGCCAGAGTCCTCGGGCACCACAGAAGCGTGCAGGACACTCCCGGGCAGGTGGGAGCCTCGCCGGCCATCTTCATCACCTGAGTCCTCATCAGTGAAGTCCCCTGAGGCATTGTCGGGCGGCGCAATGAAGATCTCCTCCCTGCTGCGGCTGGACTCCTCCTCCAGTGCATTCAGAACCTCCAGCAGCTTCGTAGACTTTGGCTTCGAACCGGCACCTCTCCCAACGGTGAAGGTGCTGCAAAGACAGGAAGCAAAATGTGGAGAGGCCACACAGGGGATGGTGTGTCAGCAGAAAACTCTGTTAAAGGACTGCCTGCGAGGAGGCACTCCCACTGCAGAGCACCTGAGCCTGAACGGCGTCTCGGACGCAGCACCACCAGGCCCAGGGCCAGGTGAGGGAATTTGGCAGGCCAGCACAGACTGCTCTTTCAAAGTGCAAAAGTATTTTAAGGGGAGGCATTCTAAGGAGACATTTCATTCTTCTTTCCTTCTTGAAGTGTTTTGAATAGAGGATCACCTCTAGGGATAAATCCAGGTGCCACTGTCATCCCCCAGGTACCAGTAACCACTGCCAGGGAGCCTGGGCTGCTGAAGTCACACCCATGGATGTCCCCTGACTCAGTGGCCCCAGCAGCTCTACTTTCATCCCTCAGTCTTACCTGGGTCGTCCCTTTGCCTTATTAATTTATCAATTAGAAGTTTCCTCTTTCCCAAGTTCTCAAACTCTCCCTAGTTGAACTCTCAGTACCCCAATTCAGGACCCGAACAGATTCAGACAGATTTTCAGATGGTTCCCTCGATATCAGACATCTTACTATATCCTAGCTGCAAGTCAGAAGCCAAACAGACTCCAGAAACATGGAAACCCCTGCTATCCTAACTCTCCCTGTGCAGGGGGGAGCTAACTGGATGTCAGGAGACACTTGTATTTCATGAGCACCAACCACAAGGAGGTACTTCCCAGGGACTGGCAGTGGGCACCCTCCACTCCTGACCTGCACAGCAACGGTTCTAACTGGAGGAGGGAGAGGACAGTTCAAGAAACAAGTAGCTATGCAGGATGGCATCAGGCTGTGAAAGGCACCATCCTGGATAAGGGACAGAGAATATGGTGAAAGAGTAGGTCTGGAGTTGCTATTTTTACATGGATGATGAGTGAAGGCTCACAACGTGGGTGGCCTGAAAAAGAGAGTAAGGCTAGAGACAGGGTGTCCCAGGCAGAGAGGAAGAACTGCAGGTACAAGGCCCTGAGCCTGAAGGGACTTGCTACCTATAAACAGCAAGGAGGCTTTCACAGTAGTAAGAGGAGGAGAGCAGAGCCCAGCCCCCAGGGCTCTAGAGACCCTCGTCAGGACACTCAGTCGTGTTCAGCTGGCCCAGGAAGCCCTCTAGAGTGGATGGAACCCGGCGCTGGGGCCTATCACTCTGGTTGTGAGGACGGACGGGGCGGGGGAGGGGGTATCCCACTGCCCTGGGCCACTCCAGACCAACCTCCTCGTGAGAAGAACTTCAAGCCGGAGGGAGGACACAGGCTTCACCACAGAGCTGATTTCTCTGCAGACCTGCCCTTGGACTCTGGAGTCCAGACCGCATTACACACTCACTCCAGCCTCACATCTTGGACACTGACTCCATCAACCTCTGCCAGAAGCTGGGCACAGGAGGTCTGACCTCAGCGGAAGTAAGGTGATTCTCATGCTCTGTGTGGGCCAGGAAGGGAGAGAAAACCTGCAGCCTTTCCCACGGACCTCAGACTGAGCGGTTCTCGGGGGACAGTAGCCATTGTCACAAGTCCCCCAGCCCCTCCTGGTTTATAGCAGCAGATCCGGGCTGGCACAGGGCTCAGGCCCGCACACCAGTCTCACTACCTGAGCTGCTGTTTGCAGCGTGGCCTCCAAACACCTTCTGTACATGGCTGTTCAGAGGCCTGGAGAAGGGCAGGAGGAGTTAAGATGAAGGAAGAGTAGGGGGACCCTATGCTTTCCTCGTGCCTCGAACGCAGCTCGATAAATAGCAAATCATTCTGAACACCCAGGAAATCGATCTGAGGCCTGAGAGAGTAAAGTGCACAGCTAGACGGAGAAAAGAGGCTACAATGTGGAAGGTAGGAGGTGTGGAGACAGGATTTGGGGGAGGAAAGAATCGTGGGTGTGGGGAGGGGAGGGAGCCCTGATCAGGGAGCAAGGAGAGAGAGCGAGAGTACGTGAGGGAGTACATGCAGAGGGCACTGCACAAGAAAAACTTGTCCCCAAAACCACTGAGGGAAGAAAACAAGAGGGGCTGACTACAGCAAGCTCTTAGAAGCAGTGCAGCTCAAAGTCTGAAGTTCTGGAAGTGCCATCACCATGGGTGGAGCCTGGCCAGCAGAGAGGTGTCCCTGTGGAGAAGGGGGCAGAAGCCCAGAAGCAGACAGAGTGGTCTGAGGATCCCATGGATCCCACTGGGAGAGACAGATGCTCTTTTTGGAGAGGTGGCACTGCCCCTCCGGGGACAAAAGAGCCAGCAGACACCACTGAGCTGCCCTGCCCATTCTTGTAGGAGCACAGGCAGCTGCTGAGTACAGCTAACCTGGACATCGGCTTTTTTGCTGTGCTTTACCATGAACTCCAGGCCCCTGTGTGTTTGGGTGACTGCCCTTCAGGGACAAAGCGGCACCAGCCACAGTGTGGCTAGGCACTCCCCCAGAGGATTAGTGCAGGTCCATGATGCACTGGATCCCTAAAATCTGCAGTTCTGAAACCCAGCCAGCATGCATGAGATAAAACAGGAGCACTGTGCCACTGGGTGGGCAAACAGCTCAGACACAGGGTGAAGGTAGGCATCTGAGGGAAGCTGGGGACAAATGAGGGGAGATGGTTCTCTCTTCTGTGAGGGCTTCCTGGATAGCAGTGGGCACGACTCCCCCTCTCCAGGGAACAGAGTGGGGTGACGCCATTTTAATCTGCCTCCCCCACCCGCCCCAGTCAGCACTGACGGACTTCAGTGAGCCGGACAGCGCACACAGTGGGGGCTTCAGATGTTTATACCAAGCCCCACCCTCTTAAACTGTGCAGGTGCTTCTTCACTAGGGCAAGTGTGACGGAGAGCCAGAGCGGCAGCTGGGCCTCTCCCCCAGGAAACCAGCTCAAACTCCCCACACACAAGTCTACCAACCATAGAGTGATACAAAAACCAGCTCTAGCACATACTGGTTCCAGCCTTTTTTTGTTTTTTAAAGATTTTGTTTATTTATTTGAGGGGGAGGGGAGCACAAGCAGGGGGAGGGGCAGAGGGAGAAGCAGGCTTCCCGAGGAGCAGGGAGCCCGATGTGGGGCTCGATCCCAGTACCCTGGGATCATGACCTGAGCCGAAGGCAGATGCTTAATGACTGAGCCACCCAGGCGCCCCTGGATCTTGTTTTTTTATCCATTCTGATACCCTGTGTCTACTGATGGAGCATTTAGTTTGTTTACATTCATAGTGAGTACGGATATGAATTTGCCTTTGTGTTACTTGTAAAGTCACTGTTCCTGTAGATTTTCTCTGTTCCTTTCCTGTCTTCGTTGGCTTGTGGTCTTTCTTTCCCTCTCAAAGGGTCCCCTTTAATTTCTTGCAGGGCTGATTTAGTGGTTATGAACTCGTTTAGTTTTTGTTTGTCTAAGAAACTCTTTCTCTCTCCTCCTATTCTGAATGATAGCCTTGCTGGATCAAGTATTTTTGGCTGCAGATTTTTCCTGTTCAACACGTTGACTATATCATGCATCACCCTTCTGGTCTGTTAAGTTTCTGTGGAGAGATCTGCTGCTAACCTTATTTGTCTTCCCTTGTAATTTAGGGATTTCTTTTCCCTTGATGCTCTCAGGATGTCTTCCTTATCTCTATATTTTGCAAATTTTACTACAATATGTCTTGGTGTTGCCCTATTTTTGTCGATTTTGGTTGGAGTTCTCTGTGCCTCTTGGATTTGGATGTCTGTTTCCTTCACCAGATTAGGGAGGTTTTTCAGCTATAATTTCCTTAAGTAAACCTTCTGCCCCATTTCTCTCTTCTTCTTCTTCTGGGACTTCTATGATATGAATGTTGTTATGCTTTATGTCGCTGAGTTGCCTAAGCCTACATTCGTGATGTAATATTTTTCTTTCTCTCTTCTTTTCAGCTTCATTATTTTCCATAATTTTATTTTTTATATCACTTATTCATTCTTCTGCTTCTTCCATCCTTGTGGTCATTACATCCATTCGGTTTTGCATCTCGGTTATAGCACTTTTTATTTCACACTGACTAGTTTTTAGGTCTTATCCCCATGGTAAGGGACTCTCTGGTGTCGTATACTTTTTTCAAGCCCAGTTAGTATCCTTATGATTGTTGTTTTAAAATCTGGGTCAGGTATATTACTTATATCTGTTTTGAATAGATCCCTGGCTCAGACCTTTTCTTGTTCTTTCTTTTGGGATGAATTCTTCCCTCTTGGCATTTTGCCTAAGTCTCTGTCTTCCATGTGTTAGGAAAGCCTTTATGTTTCCTCCTCATGAGAGTAATGAGCTTATTAAGAAGAGGTCATTAAAAAAAAAAAAGACGAAGAAGAGGACATATACTGACCAGGGCCTGGCACTGTGGGAAGTGTTTCTGGTGTATGCTGTGTGCACTCTGCTGCTCTGTTTTGGCTGCTCTTTCCCTCAGGTCAGTTCTCTGCAGAGTTTCACCCTACCTTCAGTGAGGCGTGTTTGACCCTTGTGCAGTATGTGGTGAGTCTTAAGTCGGTGTGCTGTAGTCTCCTTGTTAAAAAGGCTAGATCCAGGGGCCCCCTGGGCGGCTCAGTCAGTTAAGCGTCTGCCTTCGGCTCAGGTCATGATCCCAGGGTCCTGGGATCGAGCCCCACATCGGGCTCCCTGCTTCCCCCTCTCCCACTCCCCCTGCTTGTGTTCCCTCTCTCACTGTGTCTCTCTCTGTCAAATAAATAAATAAAATCTTAAAAAAAACAAGATCCATCTCTATGCTGCCTAGAAGAAACTCACTTTAGACCTAAAGACACTTGTATATTGAAAATGAGGGGATGGAGAACCATCTATCATGCTAATGAACATCAAAAGAAAACCAGAGTAGCCACACTTATATCAGACAAACTAGATTTTAAACTAAAGACTGTAACAAGAGATATAAAAGGACACTATAATAAAAGGGTCTATCCAACAAGAACATCTAACAATTGTATATATTTATGCCCCCAAAATTAGAGTACCCAAATATAAAAATCAATTAATAACAAACTTAACGAAAGTCATCAATAATACAGTAATATTAAGGGACTTTAACACCCCACTTACAGCAATAGATCATATAAGCAGAAAATCAACAAGGAAACAATGGCTTTAAAAACAAACTGGACCAGGGGCACCTGCATGGCTCAGTTGTTAAGCGTCTGCCTTCGGCTCAGGTCATGGTCCCAGGGTCCTGGGATCAAGCCCCGCATCGGGCTCCCTGCTCTGCAGGAAGCCTGCTTCTCCCTCTTCCACTCCCCCTGCTTGCGTTCCCTCTCTCACTGTGTCTCTGTCAAATAAATAAAATCTTAAAAAAAAAAACTGGACCAGATGGAGTTAACAGATAGATTCAGAACATTTCATCCGAAAGCACCAGAATACACATTCTTTTTGAGTGCACATGGAACATTCTCCAGAAGAGATCACACGCTGGGTCACAAACAAGGCCTCAATAAATACAAAAAGACTGAGATCATACCATGCATATTTTCTCACCACAACGCTATGAAACCTGAAGTCAACCACAAGAAAAAGTATGGAAAAACCACATACATTTGGAGGTTAAAAAACACCATACTAAAGAATGAATGGGTGAATCAGAAAATTAAAGAAATAAAAAAAATACATGGAAGCAAATGAAAATAGGACAGGCCAAAATCTGTGGCATGCAGCATAAGCAGTCCTGAGAGAGAAGTATACTGCAACACAGGCCTACCTCAAGAAGTAAGAAAAGTCTCAAATATACAACCTAACCTTACACCTAAAGGAGCTAGAAAAGGAACAGTAAATAATGACCAAAGGAAGCAGAAGAAGGGAAATAAGAAAGATTAGAGCAGAAATAAATGATACAAAAACAAAAAAACCCAGAACAGATCAGTGAAACTAGGAGCTGGTTCTTTGAAAGAATTAATAAGATTGATAATCCCCTAGCCAGACTTACCAAAAAAAAAAAAAAAAGAGAGAGAGAGAAAGGACCCAAATAAATAAAATCACAAATGCAAGAGGAGAGATTGCAACCAATACCACAGAAGTACAAACAATTATGAGAATATTATGAAAACTAATATGCCAATACACTGGGCAATCTGGAAGAAATGGATAAATTCCTAAAAACATATAAACTACCAAAAGTGAATCAGAAAGAAATAGAAAATGTGAACAGACCCATACCAGCAAATAAAGTAAATCAGTAATCAAAAATCTCCCAACAGATGGAAGTCAGGGCTAGATGGTTTCTCAGGGAAATTCTACCAAACATTTAAGGAAGAGTTAATACCTATTCTTCTCAAATTGTTCCAAAAAAAAAAAAATGGAAGAAAACCTTCCAAACTCATTCTATAAGGCCAGCATCACCTTGATTCCAAAACCAGAGAAAGATCCCGATGAGGCCAATATCTCTGATGAACATGGATGCAAAAATACTCAACAACATACTAGCAAATTAAATCCAACACTACACTAAAAGAATCATTGAGCACAATCAAATGAGATTTATTCCTGGGCTTACAAGAATTGTTTGACATTCGCAAATCAATCAACATGATACCCCACATTAATGAAAGAAAGGTAAGAACCATATGATCCTCTCAATAGATGCAGAAAAAGCATTTGACAAAGTACAACATAAAAACCTTCCACAAAGTCGGGATAGAGGAAACATACCTCAACATCATAAAGGCCATGTATGAAAGACTTACTAATATCATCCTCAATGGGGACAAATAGAGCTTTTCTTCCAGGGTCAAGAACAAAATAGGGATGTCCACTCTCACCATTATTATTTAAAATAGTACCAGAAGTCCTAGCCTCAGCAATCAGACAACAAAAAGAAACAAAAGGCATTCAAATCCACACAGAAGTCAAACTTTCACTATTTGCAGACAACATGATACTCTATTCAGAGAACCCAAAAGACTCCAGCAAAAAATTGCTAGAACTGATACACAAATTCAGTAAAGTTGCAGGATACAAAATCAATGTAGAAATCTCTTGCATTTCTATATACCAATAATGAAGCAGCAGAAAGAGAAATCAAGGAATTGATCCCATTTACAATTGCACCAAAACAATCAGATACCTAGGAATACACCTAACCAAAGAGGTAAAAGATCTGTACTCTGAAAACTATAGAACACTTATGAAAGAAATTGAGGAAGACACAAAGAAATGGGAAAACATTCCATGCTCATGGATTGAAAGAACAAATGGGAAAATGTCTACACTACCTAAAGCAAACTATATATTTAATGCAATCCCTATCAAAATACCAGAGGTATTTGCCACAGAGCTAGAACAAACAACAGTAAAATTTGTATGGAACCACAATAGATCCCGAATAGCCAAAGTAATCTTGAAAAACAAAACCAAAGCTGGTGACATCACAATTCCGGACTTCAAGCTCTATTACAAAGCTGTCATCATCAAGACAGTATGGTACTGGCACAAAAACAGACACATAGATCAGTGGAACAGAATAGAGAGCCCAGAAATGGACCCTCAATTCTATGGTCAACTAATCTTCGACAAAGCAGGAAAAAATGTCCAATGGAAAAAAGACAGTCTCTTCAACAAATGGTGTTGGGAAAATTGGACAGTCACATGGAGAAGAAACTGAACCACTTTCTTACACCATACACAAAAATAAACTCAAAATGGATAAAGGACCAAAATGTGACAGGAATCCATCAAAATCTTAGAGAAAAACACAGGCACCAACCTCTTTGAAGTTGCCTTACCAACTTCTTACTAGATACGTTGTTAGAGGCAAGGGAAAGAAGAGCAAAAATGAACTATTGGGACTTTTGCACAGTGAAAGAAACAATCCATAAAACTAAAAGGCAATCTACGGAATGGGAGAAGATATCTACAAATGACATATCTGATGAAGGGTTAGTATCCAAAATCTAAAAAGAACTTATCAAACTTAATACCCACAAACCAAATAATCCAATTAAGAAATGGGCAGAAGACATGAATAGAATGCGGAAGAAGGCATCCAGATGGCTAACAGACACATGAAAAGATGCTCAACATCACTCATCACCAAGGAAATACAATTCAAAATCAGGATGAGATACCTCCTCACACCTGTCAGAATGGCTAAAATTAACAACACCAGGAACAACAGATGTTGGCGAGGATGCGGAGAAAGGGGAGCCCTCTTAAACTGCTGGTGGGACTGCAAACTGGTGTAGCCACTCTGGAAAACAGTATGGAGGTTCCTCAAATAGTAAAAATAGTAATACCCTATGATCCAGCAATTGCACTACTAGGTATTTACCCAAAGGATACAAAAATACTGATTTGAAGGGGCACATGCACCCCAATGTTTATAGCAGCACTATCAACAATAGCAAAACTATGAAAAGAGTCCAAATGTCCACAGACTGACGGATGCATAAAGAAGACGCAGTGAATGCAATGGAATTTTACTCAGCCATCAAAAAGACTGATATTGGGGCGCCTGGGCGGCTCAGTCGTTAAGCGTCTGCCTTCAGCTCAGGTCATGGTTCCAGGGTCCTGGGATCGAGCCCCGCATCGGGCTCTCTGCTCCGCAGGAAGCCTGCTTCTCCCTCTCCCACTCCCCCTTGCTTGTGTTCCCTCTCTCACTGTGTCTCTCTCTGTCAAATAAATAAATAAAATCTTTAAAAAAAAAAAAAAAGACTGATATCTTCTCATCTGCATTGATGTGAATGGAACTAGAGGGTATTATGTATGCTAAGCAAAGTAAGTCAGTCAGAGAAAGACAAATACCATATGATTTCACTCATTTATGGAATTTAAGAGAAAAAAAAAGAAACAGATGAACACAGGGGAAGGAACTAAAAAAAAGAGGGGGAGGTATACCACAAGAGATTCTTTATTATAGAGAACAAACAGGCTTGCTGGAGGGGAGGTGGGCAGGGGACGGGCTAAATGGGTAATGGGTATTAAGGAGGGTACTTGTGATGAGCACTGGGTGTTATAGGTAAGTGATGAATCACTAAATTCTAGTCCTGAACCAATATTACAGTATATGTTAACTAACTAGAATTTAAATAAAAACTTGAAAAAAAAAAGACTCATTGAGTGGCAAAGCTTGCAGGGACTAAGGCAGCCCAACACCAACCATCTTGTGCGTTAAAAGATGAGGAAGGGGAGCCTGGGTGGCGCAGTCAGTTAAGTGACCAACTGTTGGTTTTAGCTTGGGTCCTGATCTCAGGGTCGTGAGACTTGGCCCCACATCAGGCTCTGTGCTCAACCTGGAGTGTGCTCTCCTTCTCTCTCTGCCCCTCCCACTTGTGCTCTCTCTCAATAAATAAATAAATCTTAAAAAAAAAAAAAAAAGATGAGGAAAGTAAATCACATTTTTAAATACAGTGTAGACACTGGAGCTACAGAACCACACCCATACCACAAACACTACCTTGCCTGCCTCATCTTTTCTCCAATCTCTCTTTTCTCCTCTTCCTCCTTTTTCCTTCCTAGACACCAAATGCTTAGTGAGGCCAGCTAGACTACGGGCTAAAAATGTCATGGGCCTGGCCTTTCAAAAAGACAGGAGTAATTACTTGCCTAAAGCCTTTCTTCAAACACACTTACCTTGAAGTTGAAGCCATGATGAACTGGGAACATAGAGTTGTCTATATGTGCAGAGTCAAAGAATCTGTAAGACAATAGAAGTTTATTTTTAAAAAACTGTATCTTAATTAGCAAGGCAATAGGACCTTCTCCACCATTTAAGGGAAAAGACATCTCTAGCTTAAGGTTCACCAGCAACCAGAAGGGGATGAATTGAGTACACACAGGAGATAGTGTCTAGTCAACTGGCTAATGAGAGGGAAAAACAATGAGCTCTCTACCTCACACCAAAATATATCATAGGGCAAAGTTGTTCACCATCAGAGCTATTGGCATGTGGGCTGGATGAGCCTTTGCTGTGTGGGGCTGTCCTGTGTATTACGGAATGTTAGCTTTCCAGGCCTCTACCCACTAGATACCAGTAGAACACCGATCCCCTAATTGTGGAAATCAAAAGTTTCCAGACATTGCCATGTGTCCCATGGGGGACAAAACTGCACCTGGTTGACCCAACAGAACCTATTGTAATAGTATAAATATTTTCTAACAATGCTGCCCAATATGGTAGACATGAGCCACACGTGGTTATTAAACATCTGATATATATGGCTAGCGTGCCTGAGAAAGTGAGTTTTTAATTTTATGTAATTTTAATTAATTTTAATGAAAACAGTCACATGTGCTTGGCCAGTGGCCCCTGTATTAGACAGTGAAGTCCTAGATGTATAAAGAACTAACTATGAAACAACATTCTCTTAACAACCAGTGGATCAAAGAAAAGATTAAAGGGGAAATTAAAAAGTATCTTGAGGGGCACCTGGATGGCTCAGTTGATTAAGCATTCAACTCCTGATTTTGGCTCAGGTCATGATCTCAGAATCGTGAGACTGAGCCCTACATCAGGCTCTGCACTGAGTATGGAGCCTGCTTAAGATTCTCTCTCTCCCTTTCCCTGTGCCCCGCCCCCCCCAACTAGTGTGCTCTCTTTCCCAAATAAATAAATAAATAGTATCCTGAAACAAATGAAAAAGAAAACACAACATACCAAAACATTTAAGTTGCAGCAAAAGATTTCTAGGAGACGCTTAATGCTATAAACACATACATAAAGAAAACAGAATGATCCCAAATAAAAAACTTAACTTTACACCTCAAGGAACTATAAAAAGAACAGATGAATGGATAAAGAAAAAATGGTGTATATATATACATACACAATGGAATATTATTCAGCCATAAAAAAGAATGAAATCTTGCCATTTGCAACAACATGGATGGAGCTAGAGTATAATGCTAAGTGAAATAAGTGAGTCAGAGAAAGACAAATACTATATGATTTCATTCACATGTGTAATTTAAGAAACAAAAAATGAGCAAAGGAAGAAAAAGAGAGAGAGAGAAACCAAGAAATGACTCAACTACATAGAACAAACTGATGGCTACCAGAAAGGAGGTGGGTGGGAGGATGGGTAAAATAGGTGATGGGGATTAAGGAGGGCACGCCACTTATGATGAGCACAGGGTATTGTATGGAAGTGCTGAATCACTATATTGTACACCTGAAACTAACACTGTATATTAACTATACTGGAATTTAAAATTAAATTAAAATTAAAAAAAAAAAGAATAACCTAAGCCCAAAGTTAGCAGCAGAAAGGAAATAAAAGACTGGAGCAAAAATAACAGAGAACAGAAAAATAATAGACGAGATTAACAAAACTATGAATTAGTTTTTTGAAAAGATGAACAAAACTGACAAATTTCTAGCTACAGTATCCAAGAAATAAAGAGAACCCAAATAAACAAAATTATAAATGAAAGAGGAGAAACTATAACTGATACCATAGAAACAAAAGATCAGAGAGGCTACTATGAATGATTACTGATTATATGCCAACAAACCGAACAACCTAGAAAAAGTTGATAAACTCTCAGAAACACACATTCTACCAAGACTGAACCAGGAGAAACAGAAAATTTGAACAGTCCAATTACCAGCAGAAAGACTGAATCAGTAATGCAAACTCTCCCAACCAAAAAACAAATGAGAAAACAAAAATGAAAAGCAAAATCCCAACACCAAATGCACTCACTGGTAAATTTTACCAAACATTTAAAGAACAATTAATGCCAGTTCTTCTCAAACTCATCCAAAAAAAAAAAAAAAAACCAAAGAGAAGGAACACCTCAAACTCCTAAGATGAGCATTACTCCCATACCAAAGCCTGATAAGAATATTACAAGAAAAGAATGGAATGTGAGGATGGTTCAAAAGACAAATATAGAGGAGGTGATGTCAGCAGATGGTGGACTACTAAGCTCCAGGCCTTCATTCCCCCATGGAAATGCAAGTTAACAACAATATATGAACCTGAACACCTTTGTGAGAACTCTAGAGACCACTTGAATTGGTGTAGGACCCAGGCCAACAGAAAAATAAGATGGGATTCCATTGAAAAGGGTAGAAAAAGTTCATGGCATTCTGTGCACAGACAGATCTCTCCCTAGTCAGATCAGTAAGGTACAACTAGGGTAAATACAGTGACTCCTCCCTTGGGATGGAAATCAGAGTAGACTATGAGTCCAACATTCTGGCTTGTCTTGGGGCTGCCTGAGGAATAGATTTCTGTGTCATCAGACGTGGAGCACTGATGGGAATGGCAGCAGTTTGGAGGTTACTGAAAATGTAGGCAAGTGTCACAGTACACCAGAGCTGCAGAAATTCTTCAGTTTTACATGAAGATGCCAGGGAGAGATAAAGATTATACACTTCTGGGAAGAAATTCAGGACAAGCTGCTCATGGAAATTGAGACAATTAAAAGTACACACTCAAGTCCAGAGACTATATCACCAGAAAATGTTGGTGAGGTTCCGAACTTCTAGGTGGGCTGACTGGTGAAGTATTCCCCTGAACAAAGCCAGTCCATGAAGACTGAGAGAGGAGGCTGGTTTTTGTTTTGTTCTGTTTTTTTTTTTTTTTTGAATGGCCAAATCTCAACAACAGATCACAAGCATACGAAGAAACTGGGAAACATGGTCCAATGACAGAAACAAAATAAAACTCCAGAAATGGGTCCTAAAGAAAGGCAGACTGCTGAATTTCATGGTGAAGAATTCAAAACAATTTGTTAAAGATATTCAATGAGCTAAAAGAGAACACAGACACAAAATCAGGAAATGAACAAAATGAGAATATTGACAAAAAGATAGAAACCATAAAAAGAAGCAAACAAATTCTGGAGCTGAAAAATACAATAACAGAGCCAAAGATACTAGAAGAAAACTAAAGACCAATATTGATGAATATTGATCCTCAAGAAAATATTATTAGCAAAGTAAATTCAATAGTACATTGAAAGGATTATATACCAGAACAAAGTGGGATTTATTTCTGGAATGCAAGGATAGTTCAACATGAGAAAAAAAAAATCAATGTAATATACCATGTGAAGAGAATGAAAGGCAAAAAACCATATGTTCACATCAAATAATGCAGAAAAAGCATTTAACAAGATTCAACACTTTTATGATAAAAAATCTTAACTATGAATAAAAGGAAACCAACTCAACATAATAAAGACCAGACATGAAAAAAAAAAAATCACAGCTAATATACAAAACAGTGAAAGACTGAAAGCTTTTCCTCTAAAAACAGGATCAAGATAAAGTTGCTTCTTCTGGCCTTTCTATCAAATAGTACTAGAAGTCTTAGCCAGAGCAATTAGGCAAGAAAAAGAAATAAAAGGCATCCAAACTGGAAAGAAAGAAGTAGAATTATCTGTTTGCAAATAGCATGATCTTATATGTAGAAAGCCTAAAAATTAAAAAAAAAAAGAATAAACACGTTCAGCAAAGTTGCAGAAATCAAAATCGACACATCAAAAATCAGTTGCATTTCTATACATTAACAATTTGAAGTGGAAATTAGGAACACAACTCCATTTACCACAGCACTGAAAAGAATAAATATTTAGGAAGAATCCTAACCAAAGAGGTGAAAAAATTTTACACTGAAAATGACAAAACATAAAGTAATTTTTAAAAAAACACAAAAAATAGATATCTTGTGTTCATGGATTGGTAGACTTAATATTGCTAAATGTTGATACTACAGAAAGTAATCTATGGATTCAATGCAATCTCTATCAAAATCCCAACAGCATTTTTTTTCTTGCAGAAATAGAAAAATCCATCCTAAAATCATTTGGTATCAAAGTACCCCAAATAGCCAAAATAATTTTGGAAAGGAAGAACAAAGTTTGAGAATTCACATTTCCTCATTTCAATAGATATTACAAAGCTAAAGAAATTGAAACAGTGTGGCACTGGTATAAAGACAGATATAGAGACCAGTGAATTATAACAGAGCCAGAAATAAACCCTCATGTATATGGTCAGGTAATCTTCAAAATGGATGTAAAAACTACTCAGTAGGGAAAGGACAGTCTCTTTAACAAATGGTGTTGAAAAAACTGGTTATCTACATGCAAAAGAATAAAGGTGGGCTCTTACCTTACATCATATACAAAAATAAACTCAAAATGTATCAAAGACCTAAACCTAAGAGTTAAAATTATAAAATTCTTCAAAGAAAACATAGGGAAAAGATTCACAATATTGGATCTGACAATGATTTGTTTCTTTCTTTCTCTCCTTCCTCCCTCCCTCCCTCCCTTTCTTTTTTAAGTAGGCTCCATACCCAGTGTGCAGCCCAATGCGGGGCCTGAACTCATGACCCGGAAATCAAGATCTAAGCTGCGATCAAGAATCGGACACTTAAACGACTGAGCCACCCAGGCACTCCTGGATCTGACAATGATTTCTTGACTATGATACCAAAGCACCAGCAAAAAAGCAAATATAGACAAATGGGGCTACATAAAACTTAAATGTGCATCAAAGGATACAATCAAGAGAGTGGAGGGACAACTAACAGAATGGGAAAAATACTTGCAAACTGTATTATTTGACAAGAAGTTAACATACAAATAACTCTTACAACTTCGCAGCAAAAAAACAACCCAATAAAAAAAATGGCCAAAGAACCTCTGTAGAAATTTCTCCAAAGAACATATGCAAATGTC